ACCCCCACCGTCCCACCCAGGCCAACACCTTTGGACAAGATTGTTAAGTCACTGTTTCACCACCACCACCATTGGACAGGATCAAATTTAAGCACTGACATTTTGTTTTGTGCCCTCCCCGCCCCGCGCCTTTGCCCCCTGCGCACTCCCTCTAACACCATTGGGCAGCATTAATTGTAAAGTCACTGACTCTCTGTTTCATGCCCCCACCTCCACTACCGTTGAAAAAGATCAAATTTAAGGTCATTGGCACTGTCTTTCATAACCCCTCACCACCGCCACCACCATAGGACTGCTCCCTGACTCTTATTACATTTTTGGCCACCACCAGCACCACTGCTTTCGGGCAGAGGTCTATGCTTACACGGCGTGTTGGTTATTCTTTGTCTACATAAGAGTGAACTTGAACTCAGGGTTCAGAATATTAAATCATTATTTCCTAATGTGAATGTGTGAAGTACTGCTTGCTTTACCCATTTTCACCAAACCTTATTTTATTTTTGGCAATGTGTAAGCATCAACTAAAATGAAAGGCAGAATGTTCCCTAAAGACAGGTAAAAATGTAACTGGAAACCACTCTTTTGGTCTGATTGGACCGATTTTCTCATTAAAAAAGATTATTGGTGTGTAGTTATTGAGCTTTTGTGCCTTCATTAGGTATTTATGCACCCAATTCTTTGCTTAATAATTTCATCTTAACTCTGAACTTAAAGAACAGTAATAGATACACTCAAAGACATCCAGTGGGCTTTCCACAAGATTTTCATGTCATCTTGGTAGTGGTATGGTATATAGACTCACAGTTATTTTCCATTCAAACTAAAGCCTAAAAGAGACATACTAACAAACTCTTTAACCAGGAGCTTTGCCCGCAGAGCTAAGCATTCTTGTGGGTTTATGTGTGGGCAAACAAAAAGAAGACGGTGGCCTGTGGTTCCTCCAGCAACTTTCTCAGGTGCTACCTGAAGTGTACTTGGTGGCAATTGTGGTAGTCAGTGAGCAGGTGAGGGAGGTTTTCCCAGCCTAAGCTGCAATGCTGCCAACTTTTACGAGCTTGAAAATCACTTGTTTCACTACTTCCTTTTCAACTGAACATGCTATGTTAAATCTATGTATTCTTTACATTCAATTACTTGAACTGTCATTTGCCTGCCTAGTTTTATTAATGATTGTCCAAAAGGTAGCAAGTCTTAGACGTTGGGAACAATATGAAAGAGCCTGGTATAACGGAAATTGTGCTGATGCAGGGCTCAAATGACCCAGGCCTAAGCTTGGTTCTATCATTAACTAATTGTGTGACCTTAAACAAGTCATTTAGACTTTCCGTGTCCCAGTTACTTCTCATGTCAGATGGAGATACCTGATTTCTCTCCCTGGCATATGTGGCAATCAAATGAAATAAATCGTATCTAGTATAAACACAAGACATTTGTGTACCTCTTTTATACAGCCAGAGGTATATTTTTAGCTAATAGTTTTGTGTTAATTGGCAAAATCTAGACGCTAAATCAGTGGGTTGATTTCGGTGTGGGTTGTAGTTATAAGAGAGGAATCTTGAGAGAAATAAATAGATCTGGATGAACTTTTTCAATTCCTGTACATACCCAGGTCTTACCCAGGCCCCACTCCCAGTGGCTCTCAAACTGAGATCACTGGCCTGGACCAACAGCAGGAGTGTCACCTGGGAACTGGTTAGAAACCAAACTCTTTTTTAATTTTTATTTTATTATTAGTTTCAAGTTTACAGTACATTGCTTACACATTTATATAGTTTATGAAATGGTCCCCCTGATTGCTCTTTCTCTCCTCTAGCTCTACAACTAGCCGTTACATTACTGCTAACTGCATTCCCTATGCCGTGCTCCCCATCCCCGTGACCATCTATCAACTACTAATTTGTACTTCTTTAACCCTTCACCCCATTCTCCCAGCCCCTCAACCTCCCTCCCCTCTGTCCATCACCAAATTTTCCACTATATTTGTAAGTCTGTTTTCAATTAGTTTGTTCTTTTTGTTCCTCAGATTCTACATGTAAGTGAAATCACATGGTATTTATTTTTTTCTGTCTGACTTATTTCATTCAGTATAATAACCTCTAAGTCCATCCATGTCATTGTGAATAGTAGAATTTCATTTTTTAATGGCTGAGTAATATTCCATTGTATATATGAACCATAACTTCTTTAATCATCTGTTGATGGGCATTTAGGTTGCTTCCATATCTTGGCTATTTTAAAAAGTGCTGCCATGAACATAGGGATGCATAGATCTTTTCAAATTATCATTTTGGTTTTCTTTGGATAAATACCAAGAAGTGTGAATAATCTTTTTAAAAATAATTTTATCTTTTTTCAAATACAGTTGGCATGTAATATTAGTTTCAGATGGACAACATAGTGATTAGCCATTTCTATAACT